CAATATGTCTAGGCTCCTTCATAGACATAGAAGGTGCTTTTGACAGAACAAATTTCTCCAGCATAAAAGGTGCCCTAAGTAGACATAATGTTGAACCGGCACTGATTGACTGGATAGTAAACATGCTCAGTACACGAACAATAAAGATTGCTGGTGAATCTCAGACAATTCAGATCATGAAAGGATGCCCGCAGGGTGGGGTTCTTTCACCTCTCCTGTGGAATATGGTCATTAATGAACTCATCAGCAAATTAAACGCTAACCATTTCTACACAGTCGGTTATGCAGATGATCTGACAATACTGGTCTGTGGTAAGACAGCAAGCATTGTGTGCGACCTGACCCAAGCGGCTCTCCGTATTGTGGAGAAATGGTGCAGGGAATATGACCTAACCGTTAATCCAAATAAAACGGTTATAGTAATGTTCACACATAAACGAACGCTGAATAACTATCATCTTCCAAGTCTTTTCAGCACAAAACTCAAGCTTTCCTCCGAGGTAAAATATCTAGGTCTTACATTGGACAGTAAACTTAACTGGAACAAACTCATAGAAAACAAAATCAGTAAAGCTATTTTAACTTTTTGGCAATGCAGAAACATGATTGGCAAACGATGGGGTTTAAGGCCAAAAATTATACTGTGGCTGTACAAAATTGTAATTCGGCCCATGATCACATACGGCTCTCTGGTATGGTGAACCAAAAACAATGAAGTTACCACTATACAAAAGCTTCAGCGTTACCAGAGATTGGCTGGTATGGCTGCCACGGGCTGCATGAGGACTACACCAACAGCAGCTTTGGAGGCTATGCTGGAGCTAACACCGCTTCATCTACATATACAACAAGAAGCAACTTTAGCTGCCATTAGACTCAAAACCCTAAATCTTTTAAGTAAGAGTAGAGTCCCCCATACAGATATAATCGATAGAATTTACTCAAAAATTCATATCTTACAAGCCAAGTATGATAGGATCCCAAAACAATTTGTATTCGATAAGAAGTACAGGATACAATTGAAGGAAACTGACCATCTGGAAGGATTGGGTCCAAGAGAGCTCAAAGTTTTCACGGATGGCTCTAAGACAAATGAAGGTGTGGGGTCTGGGGCTTTCTCTGAAGACCTTAATATCCACATATGCACACCGCTGGGTACCCACAACACAGTTTTCCAGGCTGAATGCATGGGTATCATCCAAGCGGCCATAGCAATAGATGCTAGGAAGGTGAAGGACTTCTCCATCAGAATACTGATCGACAGTATGGCGGCACTACAAGCTCTGAGATGCAATGTGACGAACTCGGGACTGATATACGAGTGCCATCAACGATTGAATGGGGTATGTAAGCACAACAATGTGACTCTGCAGAGGATCAAGGGACACAGTGGATCTAGAGGCAACGATGCAGCAGATGAACTGGCCAGAAGGGGATTGGCCCTGGCAACTATAGGGCCGGAACCAATAATACCAATCCCCTTTGGCTACGTTCGTTCACTGTTACGTAGATACTTCAATAACTTACACGCTCAGCTTTGGAAAAATTTAGTAGACTGTAGACAAGCTAGGGAGGCCCTACCTGAAATAAACAGTCGTCTAACCAAGGTTCTAATGAGACTGAACAAGCCACAGATCAGGATAGTAACAAGTGCTATTACAGGACATGGCTCTTTTAACAAACATTTGTTCACCATAGGTGTTACTGATAGGCCCCTGTGCAGGGCATGCATGGGAGAGGCAGAAACGGCGGCTCACGTGTTGCTGACATGACCAGAAGTCGCTTCATACAGGGCTAAACACTCGGCACGCCGGGATCGCTCCCCGAAGTTGCTTGCAACATCAAGGGACTGCTGAGCTTCTTCGGGGAGATATAATGGCTCGAATAACCATATTATTCCCGCCCACACGCAAAATACGTGCTTAGACGTGGAGTTGCGGAAAACAGCCCGTCGTAAACTAAACTAAACTAAACCTTTCGTCCATATCGGTTGTCGGTTCTTTAAGCTATATGACGGGCCATTAGCCATTAGTCAGTTTTATATTAACCACAGTATTACTGCTCTATCACAATTATGGATACTATAATGTCCTAAAGAACGAATTTCGATCACTGTGGCCAGTCACTACGACGACTATCTCTCTGTGCATAGACAGAATTATAGTGTACAAATATGTGCGCAAATACAGGTGCACTATCTATTCCATTACACTCATCGTTCGATGGGACGGCAAATCAACACCGTTAAACTGTAACAGCCTATTAAAGTCCGCTGACGAACATAGGCCTCGTTCGCCGTAGTTGCCCCTCTTGGCAAGCGGGTTGGCAACCGCAATTTTTATTTTTAATCGTTATTAGGACTGCTTCGTTGGTCTAGCGGTTGTAGTAGTGCTGATCATTAGTTGATCCTGGGTTCAAATCCCGGGTCGGGCCAAAAAAACAATTAATGAGTTTTTCTGTCAAGAAATTCTCCGTAGTTGCACGGCGTCAGGAAGTTCGGCGGTGTCTCACCCCCGTGCCTCGGAAAGCACGTAAAGCCGTTGGTCCTGCGCCTGATCTCTCTCCGGTCGTGTCGGTTTACCGTCCCATCGGATTATGAGAGTGAGGGAGTAGAAAGTGAGAGTGCACCTGTGCTTGCGCATACACTTGAACACAATAATCCTGTCCTGCGCCGTTGGCTAGCCTCCGTTGAGGCTGGCTGCCGTGGCCGAATTTCGGTCTGTAGGACATTATTATTATTATTAGGAAGACTCTGCTGCCTATCTTCTTATTTGTTTCCCTCTGTCGACTCTTACGATAACCAATAACCCAACACCACCGAACAGAAATCGGGCGCAGGGCCAATGGCTAAACGCGCTTTCCGAAGCACGGGAGTGCAACACTACTAACTTATTGACTCCCGGCTGCTACTGAGAATTTCTTGACAGAAACCCCCAATAATTGATATATAGCCCGACCTGAGATTCGGACCTGGGACCACGTGTTTCGTAGCCGATCACTAGATCAACGAGGCAGTCGAGGATACTGTACACGCTTGAGATACGGTAAATGTACACAAATGACTAATCCAGTATGCATGTGCCATAATATACCTTTTCTAACGTCAGTTTAGGAATACTAAATGGCTTGCAATCGTGTGCGCATTAATTTTGCAATAAAAATAATTGTATCTGCGTAGATTAAGAAGCATTTTAATGTCAACATTATATTGCTTTAAATATCCATCCAGTTAATGTGCACCTTTATTATTAACGGATATTATGGGCATTGTCATATCACGGTGACGTAAGACAATCCATCACAATGTGACGATGCTGTCTCCTCCTGCTGAGACCTCTTTTCTAGTACCTACTTATTAGTAATCTATCGATCTCTAGTTTTTCACCTACGTCTTAAACTTCATCTCTACACTGGGCGTAAAAACAGACAGAGAGCGAAAGGTCCGGAAGGTCTTGTGGCCCTCAAAAGATAGTAATATTATATCGTTTGGCTTTGTGTTCCCTAATCAGCTTCCCAAACATGGCGATTGTAGCAAATATGTGTAAGGCTCATGTATATCAGTAGAGCTTTTGAGATTATTAGAATTTTATTAATGAGGATATCCGGGCAGCGTTCAGTGCATACAAATGTATTCCTCAGTTGTTTTCCCTAGATATAGACTGGACATAGACTTATTATACTGCGAGACTAGAGCAAATATTCTTACGATACATTCTATGTTTATGACTGCCATCTTTCTATATTCTTTTTTCTCATAAATGTCTATAGGCCACAGCGTCCACTTACCATCAGGTGGACTTTGCGCTCGTTTGTCATCTTATACTATTAAAAAAGAGGACCCGATGTGTGGTGCCGTATTACTCGAAACCAGAAGTTCCTGTATTTTAAATTGCGATTTCACAATTCACATTCCATCATTAGATCATTATGTATACAGCTTTGGCATTTTGTGTAATACTGCTTTGGCGGTTTGAGGTTAATCGATTTTGTTGCTTATCTGTATGCTATGTGTAGCTGTCAAAAATTTGCTTAATATTTTATTAACTATAGTGCTCGTAAGTACCATTACGGATCATAAATACTTCAAAGTCATTTATAAATGTACCCTAATTTTTTTATAGGATAGGGTGACAAACGTCCACCTGATGGTAAGTGGTTGCTGCGGCCCATAGACATCTACACCCATCCTCGATTATAAATCAAAATGCAGATCCGTTGTCACCCGTGAGGACTAACATGGAATGCCTCGTTTTCTCCGGTTTTCTACACTCACCATACGAAACACAGCAGCATTAAGCTACTATTTTGCGCTGGTATTCTGTGAGAGTGTGGTCCTTCCCCGGTCGAGCTGACCCATTCGTACTACAACTATACGAGTACTACTAATATAAATAACTGCAGCATGGTTCTATCACGTATAAAGTACCCTACCCTAATACTTTATAAACGTAATACTTATAATTTTTAAAAAGTTCTATAGAAATCGCCAAAATATATATTAATGCGTATTTTGAACAACTGGATTGTTAAAAATACGCATTATTAAAAATATGCAATAAAATATACAGACCGATGACGGGACTCATCCTCTACTATACGGTAAAATTCACCTGCTCACTCCCGCCAAGCGACTTTTACCGTAAACCTGTCTACTATGGGACATGCTCACGTTCAGATTATGTACATATGCATTCTCGGGGGAAAAACAAATAGACACATTATTATTAAAACTTTTATTTCTTACATTACCTGAAATTCGATAATTTATTTCGTGTGATTTTAATTACAACATAGGTAATTTTTCGGCTTCGCTGTTTTTAAATAAGTAAGTCTTTAAATCTAGTCGAAGGGTATTCACGCGAACGCCCATTAGCGGTCGCCATTCGCACATCTGAGGAATGGATCACAAACACTGCACAGCGAGGCGCCGCGGGCGGAACGCGCGTGTCGAGGCACTATGTCGACACACGCCTACCGCCAAATGCTCTTTCACCACTAATTTAAGATTTGGAAGCTTTGCTTCCTTTTTTGTCGGTGGCCTCCGACGAATCTTTCTCTCCGCTGTCGCCTTTCTTTTCGCTGCTCTCAGCGCTCTCTTCTGAGCTGCTCGTTGATGCATCACCCATAGGTTTCTCTTCGCTCTTTGGCGGTTTTGCTTCAACTTCGCTTATCTTTGGTGCTTCCGCCGGTAAAGCTTGAGCGACCAAAGTTTCTTTTACTGGTTCGCTCTGTACAACAGGTTCTTCGGGTTTCGAGTCCTTTGTCTCCTGCTTCTTTTCGATTTCACTTTCTTTTGGGGTTTCAATTTCCGTTGCCGACTTAGCAGCTTCTACAGGTGCTGGAGTCTGTTTGTCGTCGACAGTATCGCGAACTACTCTTAGAGGGTCATCAACAGAAGGTGCGCTTACGTCAGCTGATTTAGGCACGGCAGTTTCATCTTTGGTAACAGGGGCTGGTACATCAGCAGAGACGGCTTTTTCCTCTGTTTTAGGTTCAATGGGTTTGTTTTCTTCTGTTAAACTTGTTTTAGCTTCGGGTACCGAAGGAATTTCTTCTTTCTTGTCCTCTGCAGCTGGTTCAGCACTCTTTGTTGTCACAACAGGCACCTCTGTCTTCTCAGGTGAGGAAATGGCAGCAATATCGACAACATCATCAGCGACAGCGGCAGGAGATTTAACAGCTGCTACAACATCAATAGTTTCAGATTTAGAGGTTAGTACATATGGCGCTTCTTTGACTTCTGCTACTTTAGCATCGGAGACCTGTTTAGTTTCCTCAACAACTGGCTTTTGTTCAGGCTCTTCCTTTTTTTCTTCAGGCTTTGCCTCTGATTGATTGCTTTCCGGCTTAACCTCAGATTCAGCTTCCACTGGTGCTGCTGACTTAGCTTCAGGAACTTCATTCTTAACCTCGGGAGTGACTACAGCTACAGCCGCTTCCGGTATGGCCTCTTCGGGTTTTGATTCTACAGGTACGCTTTTAATTTCTGGTTCTTGCGGTTTTACAGCTTCTTTGTTTTCAATTACTTGTTCAGATTTTTTCTCTTCGATAACTGTAGTATCAGCTTTAATTTCAGGTTGCACTTCGTCAGGTTTTGGCGCCTGAACTGATTCAGATGCTACAGGTGCTACAGGTTCTACAGGTTTTTCCTCGGCGACTGGCATCGACCACGCCATAGCCGCAAAGGCCATGCATATCACTAAGACCTTCATCCTGTAAAGACAAATGATATTATTAGTGATTTGACGGAATGACCGCTGAGAAAATGTCGTAGATAATACAGCATGCAAGCAAAACGTGAACAAAGTAAGGCCAATGTTACGCGCCGCCGCACCGTGCCGGCCGGCTTCAACGTTTTGCTGCAATTTTCCTATTAAGACTGAATCATCTCAGGGCGCTCGTCCGAAGAGGCTCACCCCTTGTGCCAGTCATATCGAATTAAAGTAAATTTAAATAAATGGATGCACATTATTGTTGATGCATTGCATATAGAGATTTCATTTGTTTTAAGTTTCAATAAAAGTGTACATAGAATGAATTGCAAAATAATTTGTAAGTAAAAATAAATATATTGTTTTATTCTGTATATGTCGTTAACGTTAATGACATCTATCCCATCAGCAATCTATTAGGGCAGACGGTCGTAGAACCCGAACAGTCTATTTATAGCAAACGTGCTGGAGGAGGTAAGGCATTATAGCGATATCCTAGGTCCTGTTGGAATGTGGTCTGGCGCCGATCCACAAATAGATTATCATAATCATAATCATAATCATAAATCATTTATTTGCAAGAAATATGGTTGGTACACAAGATGTTAAAGTAACTTATAGCACAGGACATATTTCACCCTCATTACGGGCATGCAAAATCGTAGTAAATTTACAACAATTATTTGAATAAAATTACAATTATTGGAACTATTTGAATAACAATTCATAAGAAATATTTTAATTGCAATTATAACAGTCTTTTAAACTTCAGTTATTTGAATTACATGATTACAATTATATAAATTATTGAATTATTATAATAGACTAAGATACAAGAAATAAAAAAGAAAGATCTGATATCTTAGTGGGCACCAAATCGGCAAGTGCTATTATTCAAAAAGTCTTTAATAGTATAGAAACTCTCCTGGATTAACCATTTTCGCAAGGCACAGCAGAACCTTTTATATGGCAGGTCAGTCATTCCTTTGGGCAAAGAGTTATATATTAGAGGTGCCATATAAGCGCAGTTTTTTTTAAACAGTTCTAGCTTAGGCGCAGGCATTTTTAATGGCACGTGGTTAATTTTTCGTTTAAATGTATTGTCGTTAGCGGTGAAGAGATGACTGTGGTATTTAACAAATTTAGCTGTTTCGTAGATGTATATGCAGGGAACAGTTAGTAGATTATTTGATTTAAAAGTCGGTTTACATGATTCCGACCAATCCATGCCGTACAGTGCCCTTATGCATTTTTTCTGTGCTTTAAATACCCTCGTGATGTGGCAGGAATTTCCCCACACAACTATGCTATTTAGTCTACTTACATACTTCGATATAAAATTAATTAAATTTCTTATTCCCGCTTATTATCTTTTATGGCTTTTAATAGTTATATGATAATAGTTATAATGACGCTACCAGCGTAAAATATAATTTATTAACTATATCGTTAATTTTGAACGTTTTGTATATAACAACATACTGTTTTGTCATAATAGTAATTAAATTATTCTTATAACGTACTACATATTTATTAAAAAAGAAAAAGAAAAAAGAAGATGATTTTGAACCGAATATTTAATTTTGTGAAGTTATAAATATGGGGTAAAAACAATAAAATACATACAGAAATTATAACAGACTGTAAGTCAACTCAAGTTGGACACTTCCTACCGCGTGCTTGGCTGGCAGGATGCGAAACGCGCGCTAGTAATATGGATGATCCGGCCAGACGTCCACCACACATTATCTGAATTTTAATTGGCTAATTGAATAGAATCAGCAACTAGAATGCAACAGCGTCACACGCGTGCGTCATTCTCAGAGGCTCCCACACGCACATTTTAAACAACCTCTCGTTTATTATTGACTTGTGATAGTTTTCGTATATTTCATTATCACCTCAGATTATTAAATAGTGCAAAGTATTGGTTATACATTTCTGACAAAATAGAAAAAAAAATAATAATAGTTTCTCATGGAATAGAATAGAATAGAATATTTTTTTTATTCAATATAGATTACATGTTGTAATTCTTATTGAAAGTCATTTTTACTTTACCACTGGTTCGAAAAAACCTCTGTCCTGGGAAGAACCGGCAAGAAACCCAGCGGGACTTTAAAAAAAATAATTTTACTATGTCACTGGTCGCAAGATATTTACAAAATTTATTTTAGAAACAAATTGGAAGCGATCCTCATTCCCGGGGGTTATTATCAACCTTGTATTCATCTATATTACGATAACCCTTTTTATATAGTTTTTGTTTAATTAAATATTTAAACTTGGTAATAGAGAGACCTTGCATATATTCTGGGACTTTGTTGTAATAGCGTACACATTGCCCCAAGAATAAATTACTGACTATGGAGTCGATGTAATGTTGATGCAGACGCATTGTCATATTTTGTGTAATGAGCATAAAAAGAACACGTTATTCCACTTTAATATACTTTATATAATATAGAATGCCTATTATAATTATGTTTAAAATTATACTATAATATATTTTTAATTAAATTGAAATTTTATTATATTAATTGAAAAAAAAAATTCAATTGTTTCTTTGGTAAAAGATGATTTGGACCTGGCAGACCCTACTTTTTCCACTCAACGCAACCTACGATCCCCAATAAGTATATAATTACTTTCGTAACTGTGGTCCGATGTGATATTGCTCAATTGTTACCTGTTATTACACTCGACCAGTTCTTACGCGAAATAAAGGTCGTTTGCGCTGTTCATCATCTCAGCATCTCTTAACGAATACGTCGTGTTTCCTGTGGTCTTTACGGCAATTGTTTGTTATTGTTTGATTTGACTGCCTTCTTGGTCTAGCGGCCGTAACGCGATTGCTAATCATGGTCTCGGATTCGAATCCCGGATCGGGCCAAAAATCAGTTATTGGGTTTTTCTGTTAAGAAATTCTCAGTAACAGCCCGGGGACAGGAAGCTGGCCGTCTTTCACCTCCTCGTATATTTTAATGTCATCTACAACTTCATTCATAATTACTGAAGAATATCTGTGTATATATACGTAAAATTCAAGATAACGCACGGTCACAGAATCTTATACATTCCCGTGTTTTGTTTTAAATCACAGGTTTTAAAATTAGTATTACGTTTTTCGCACCAAATGCTCTTTTTGTAATGTTTCCTACTTTCAACTGAAACTCATCTTGAATTTTTTTTTGCTAATAATCATTTAACGTCAGGCGAAAGAGTTTGTTGTCTTTTTTAAAAATTATTTAGGAAAATGTTACTATTGTCACGATTATATATTAAAGATATTCTTAAAGTTGATATTGTACTATAAAAATGATAATGTATCAACATTTAAGAGATCGTTCGCAAATGATTTTCTGGAAGGATATCCTCGAAGCTGTCTGAGGGCAAGGATTGTCGCCTTCCCACACGTCGTCGACACGGCAATCTTTCAATTGAAGCCCAGCGCATGCCTGCCTGCCTCATTGTGCCAATCAAAGAATATGCCGGCAGCTAACCTTTAATACATATATGGATAGGAATATGGTGCTTTTCCACATGACGCCCCTCGCGAAGCATGGATTTAATCATTCATAACACTGTTCATTTTTTATGATTCATCGTGCCTACGTTCAGCAGTGTTCTTGTAATGTGATGATTGTGATGATGATTACGAAAGTTCTAGTAACGTTTCTGTAGCAACTGAAATCAGCATTTTGTAGCGACATTTAGTTTTATGAATTGTTTATTTCGATATTATAGACCTAGTTCTAACAAAGCAATAGCTTTTATACTTACTATGTGGGCCTTGCAAAATCTAATATCTGGCAACGTTTATTTTAACAATCAAGTGTTACGGTCGAACGATTGCATTTGCGAAATGCACATATTTGTCTCTCAGTTTCCCTTGACCATAACCTATAAAACTGACAAAATGCCGGTCTTGATGTTTGAAATCGATAAATATTATTCAGACTTAGGATTTATGGCATTCAATGCGAGTCAATACTGAGAAAAGAAAAAGTCGGCTTCTACTTTTTATAAAAACTAATTTTAGATTCTTTTGAGTTTTAAATAATATCACAAAATACCGCCTAAATAGTTACAATAAAAACTGCATATCATATTTTTCCATCCTTAGAATTTTAAATAACAATAAAAAAAATAGTGATTCCTAACAACAAAACGTATGATCATAGTCTCCTATTTTCAAATTAGCTCAATTACATCGCAGTAATGCAGCATTGTCCTTTAGGTCCGAGAAACTCATCAAAAGCATAATGTGAAGTCGTGACTATTCGATGGTGCAATTACGTATTTACCATATATCAAGCAAAGTTATTCTACGATGCATATGCCAGAGAAGCAACGCCATATCGCGTTTGCATTGGAATCACGTAGTATGAGACAATTTGTGCCCATATTTATCACCAGTGTTTTACAATTCTTTAAATCGCGATCACGATTTTCATGATGTTAATCTTAATGGAAGAACTAATGTGTAGACGAACAAGCACATGATGTTTTATTGGTTAATGGAAATTATTCTTCTATCATCCAGGAAATTGCGTCATTAAAAAATAAGTCTATATATATATATATATATATATATATATATATATATATATATATATATATATATATATGTATATATATATTACCAATAATTAATTCAAAGAAACTTCAGAGAAATTTAATTCTCAGAACTAATGGATCTAATGGATAAACATATGCAAAAATATAAACTGTACATTAAATTTATTAAATATAAGTTATTTGTATGCACTAAGCGATAATTCCGTCAGTATTATAAACAAGTATTCATTAAATTGCAACTTACATTGAATTCAAAGAGTAGTAAGCAAATTGAACACGTAGTCTGACATTAATATTCAGCAGAACGTACGGTCTTACTTTATTTGACATGTGACCACCTAGATCTAGATCTCAATGGTTTTTTAAACTACAGGTTTTAAAAATAGTATCACTTTTTTCGCACCAATACTCTTTTTGTAA